TTTTTTTTCATACCAATTAATCGTGAGCCTCTCTGATGCATTTTGGGATTTGCGGTTATTGTTGGGATTATACTTGGATTCCTGTACTGGATGTTCCCCAAAGCTTTGATAAACAACAACAAAGACAACAGGTACCATCTATATCTATGCTCCAGGCACCATACCCGGTGCTTTAATGCCGAACCCTAAACATTTGCAAGTTTTCTCATTTCACAGTGGAAAGGACGCAGACCCAGAAAGCCTGGACACACCATAGGTCAGAGGTAGAAGTTGAATTCGAACCCAGGGCTGTTGTTTGACCAAAGTGCTTTTCATCGACTCCACTCTTTCATAGGAAAAATGAAGAAAATCAAATTTGACTTTAAACCTACAGGGCTTTGCTATATATAAGGGTCTGGTGAATCTTTCGATCAAGAAAATAATACTTAGTCTGTGGGTAAATCCAGATTGATACAGGTATAGATATAGATTTCTCTTTCTATATTTTGTGCGTGTCACATACAACTTTGGGCACATTTAAGGTGACCTACAGTGTTTGGTCTTCTTATTTGGGCAAGCAGAGATGTTTAGGAGAATATTAAAGAGGCCTTTGTTCATTCCTCTGCAGATATTTATCAAGCGTTCCTCTGTGGGAATACAAAGATGACAAAAGCAGATGATCCTGTCCTCCTAGGGTGTATGGTTTCTGGCTTCTTGGAGTGTGACCCTCCTTATTAGCTGGCTGCCTAGAAATAGAATGTTCACTTTCTTTGTGGTAATAAGTCAATAGTTTATTTTTTTTTTAAAGACTTACTTATCTATTTGAGAGAGAGAGCGAGCAGGGGGTAGGAGCATTGGGAAAGAATCTCAAGCTGACTCCCCGCTGAACGTGGAGCCCAACACAGGGCTTGATCCCATGACTTGAGCCGAAATCAAGAGTCGGATGCTCAGCTGACTGAGCCACCCAGGTGCCCCTCAGTCAATAGTTTAAAAAACTTTCTTTTCTGCTTACCACAGGAATGCCTCTCATTGTAAAAAAATTTAAAAAGCAACGTTATAAGACTATATAATATAAAAAGTTACTTTCCAGTATTGCCAGCCTCAAAGAAACAACCAGAAGTAGCGAAGAAAATTTTAATATTTGAATCTCTTCCTCCAAAGGGGCGACAGAGGAGATGCGCCGGCAAGTCCCTTCACCTGACTCCAGCAGCTCCCCGGGGCTTGTGGATACGTCTTTACGCCGCGGCTCCTAAGCTTGGGGCAAGCAGACACACAGCTGAACGTAAATATGAAGCAAAACTCTAGCCAGAAGTTCTGACAAAGCCTTTTCTCCCCCTGCCTTGTTAATTTGTTTCCATGAAAAGAGGCCAAAGACATTTAAAATGAGGATTGTTCTGGAAAATCCAGGCTAGATGGACACCAGATGTATATAGGGAATCAGGGCACACCACAGTAAACACTCAGTAGTTGTCTGCGCAGTGAAGCAACGAAAACTCTGTACTGATCTTTAGAAAATCAAACCAAAACAGCCCTGTACAACATGCCCGCCTGCATAGGTTTTACCTTTTTTTTTTTTTTTACTACACAGCAAAGGGAAAAGTCGCCAAGCGTTTCTTGGCTGAATTTTTCTATTTTGCTTTCAGTTTGTGCCATTTCAGTTCCTGTTATCATGCTTGGAGGTACACTGAAGTGCAGCAAACCCCGGGGGTATCTGAGGCCGCGCTGAAAACTCAGCACAGGCGGCAGGAGATATTAATAATGTGATGTCAACACAGTGCACACTCAGGAAACTCCAGGAAAAGAACACAAACATAACTCTGGTATGAAGCACTTTTTGGAAAGGCTTTCCTGCAAGAGGACGGTAAGGGTTTTACAAGGGCCATGAAGAAACGTATTTAAGTTAATAAAGCTCTTTATTGAGTGTTTACTGTGTTTTACGATGTGCTTTACATCTATTAACTTGCTTTATCTCCAAAACAACCCTATAAAGAAGTCACAACTAGAATCCCCACCTTACCAATGAAACAACTGAGGCACAAAGGAGCTCATAACTTGCCCAGGGTGACAGGGAATGGCAGAGACAAAGTTAAACCCAGGCAGGGACGGGGGGAGGGGGATGGGCTAAGTAGCTGAAGGGAATGGAGAGGGTACAAACTCGCAGTTAGGAAACAACTCAGTCACAGGGATGAAAAGTATGGCCCAGGGAATCCGGTCAATAGTATTGTGATAACCTTGTACGGTGACGACACTTAGTGTGGTGAGCATTTTGTCACGTCTCTCTGTCGAATCACTGTGTTGCACACCTGGAACTGATATATATTATATATCGACTATATTTCAATTAAAAAAAAAAAAGTTAAACCCAGGCAGCCTGGGCCCAGAGCCCTGATGTTCTGGTATTAAACCACTCTGCTCAGCTGCCTGTCAGAGGACAGGGAAACTCGATGAATTTCTGGGTTGCTGAATATTAGGTTGTGTATATTTGAACCCCCCAGATAAGAGGTGAACAAAACATCGGAACAAAACGTTAAGAAGTCCTTATGCTTGGGCGCCTGGGTGGCTCAGATCGTTAAGCGTCTGCCTTCGGCTCAGGTCATGATCTCAGGGTCCTGGGATGGAGTCCCGCATCGGGTTCCCTGCTCAGTGCAGAGCCTGCTTCTCCCTCTCCCTCTGCCACTCCCTCTGTTTGTGCTCTTCTGTCTATCTCTCTGTCAAATAAATAAATAAAATCTTAAAAAAAAAAAAAAAAAGAAGTCCTTATGCCTTCTTCTCACCAGATCTATCATTTATTCATTCATTCGTTTTCAAAAGCATTTACTGAGTACCTGCTATGTGTATAGCAAGGTGCTGGCACTTGTCAGCTCTTCAAAGGTGAATAAAGCACAATCCTACCCAACAGTGTGTCCAGTGAGTTTTGGGATCACACATCCGTAGGTTTGAAATCTCAGTCCCGCCACCTACCAGCTGTAGGACTGTGGGCAAATTTTTTCACCTCTTTGAGTTATTTCCTCACAGAGAAAAGAGGTATGGTACTCATAGGAAAAGAAAAATAAAATATCTAAATGAAATTATTTTTCTTTTGCTGACTGCAAGCAGAATTAGCTTATTTGTGCTTTGGCAAACCGCTACTCCTATGGTTCTGTCTTTGGTTTCAACCCCAAAATGGTTTACTTTATCTCTCAAACTTATATTCAAATGATTACATTTGATTTATTTTGCATGTCAGTCTAACCACTAAGCATATGTCATCACATCACTTAATTTATAACAGAACATAAATCTGCTGTGTCGGCTCTGCTAGCTAAAATAGAATCTAGTGCGTTACAGTCATCCACAAAAGAATTTACAGTAACGATGGTAAGAATAGTCAAGAAACTCAGGAGAGGATTTTAAAAAATTAAAAATTAAAAAATTCAAGGCAGGGTTCTATAAAAAAAGAAAATTTCTACCACTATTTAAAATTTTTTTTCTATCTTTTTTTCTTGCATCCTGCTGTCCTAAGAGAAGGCTTTACAGAGGCACCCGCCCCTCCCACACACACATACCATTCATTTTGGGAGGTGTGGGGTGATTGAACAGGCACAGAAGGAAAGGACATAAGGTTGTTTGTTTTTTCATTAAATTTCAAGCCTCAGATTGAAAAAAAATTGTAAAATCAATTTTAGGTGTAAGTTTTGTATCCTTTTTTGGGGTGGTGGGGAAGGGGTTACCAAGATTCTAATGAAAGTTATGGACTATCTTTCCAGAAAATGCATAGATAAATCCCCCAATTTCCAAAACTTTCCATGCACCCCAGTTTAAAAATCCTTGGCCTAGTCATTGGGGAAAAATATTTAAAATATTATATCTAAGATTTCCAGGTACTTTATGTAGGTAATAGTGGTAAGCCAGATCCTTAGTTTTCCAAACTATTTAATACATAATTTGTGTATGGTGTAGATTAACTCCCATTCATAGCCCAGTAAATTTATGAAAAGTCAACCCAAACAAATCTGAGTTTTAGACCATTGTACCCCCCTCTGAAACAGCAGAGGAAAAAGTAAGGAAATCCTTCCATTGTGTAACTGACTCGTTTCCTTTCATAACTGGAATATGCCTTTTAACACACACTGCCTTAAATCTATACATTCAGCACCCTTTGTAAGCCAGGACTCACATGGTAGCCCTCAGATACTTTAATTATGTGGACATTCACCTCTAAAACGTTGTTAGACAATAGAAGAAACAATAAACCCATAAAAACCCTGACACTAAATCAGAACTGTCTCTATTAATATCGAGTTAGAAGTGTCAGATCAGGGGCGCCTGGGTGGCTCAGTCAGTTAAGTGTTTGACTTTGGCTCAGGTCATGATCTTGGGGTCCTGGGATCAAGCCCTGGGTTGGGCTCTGCGCTCAGTGGGGAGTCTGCTTGTCTTTCTCTCTCTCTCTCTCCCTCTTCCTCTGCCCCTCCCCCACTCATGTGCGCGCGCTCTCTCTCTCTCTCTCAAATAAATAAAATTAAAAAAAAAAAAAAGGAAAAAGGAAGCTCCAGATCACTTTAGCCAATGCTGGTATGAAGAATGTGCTGGCGGCTCACCAAAGACACGTTACTTACCCCATTGTTTTTAGGATAGAAATAAAAACCTATCCTGGCTCTTTATGGATCCCTCCAGGAGTTCTCACTCATTGACAGAGAAAGGCAGTCTTCTAAGAAAAGTGTTTTAAAAAAAATTTTGTCACAGATGGGAGGTTGTAGTAATAATTTGAAACATGGAGGACATAAAAAGAAAACCAGAGAGAAAGAGAAAAGAGATTCCACATAAGGGGTCTGGAGTGGCTTTATTAAGCCCATGATTTTAAAACACGTTGAGAGGCAGACAAGTCACTTCTCTAAACGGCATAACAAATGGAGCTTTTTCCGGCAAAGAAAGGCCTTTGGGAGGTGATGAGGTCATGAGGGTGGAGCCCTCATGAATGGGGTTAGTGCTCTTATAAAAGAAACCCCAGAGAGCCTTCCTGCCCCTTCCTCCATGAGAGGTGAATGCAAAGGTACAGCTGTCTATGAACCAGGAAGTAGTTCATCCCAGACGCTGAATCAGCCAGTGCCTTGATGTCGGACTCTCCAGACTCCAGAAGTGTGAGAAATAAATTTCTGTTATTGATAAGCCACCCATTCGATGGTATTTCTGTCACAGTAACTTGGACAGACTAAGAAAGAAGACATGGCCAAAATGGAACAGGAACATAGAGTCTAATACCATGTCAGTGGTCCCGGAGATACCACGCTTTGGGGAAGGGAAGACCAAGAGTGGGGAGATGGTGCGGTCAGCATAGAGGCAAAAAGCACAGCATCTAGAGTCAGACAGGTCTGGGTTTGAATCCTGGAGCCGCTAAAGCGGCTGTCTGACTTTAGGCAAGTTACTGGAAATCTCTACACCTCAATATCCTCACTGAGGAAAGGAGTGGAATAATAGTACCTATAGTTCACTGGATTGTGGAAGGTCAATGTAAGGTAATTAGTGCTAAGGGGCACTGTGAATACTCAGAAAAGCCTTGCTACTATGATTGGTGACTGTGAAGGAGACACTATTGATGGGGTTCAGGGCAGGCCTCCCCAAGGTGTGTCACTCTGGCATGTTGAGTATTTTGAATTAAAGTTACTTGGGAAACAGCAAGTGCAAGAGGGGCACTCTGACCCTCCCTGTCCCCCTGAAAGCAAGAAATAAAGTCCCTATGTGAACGGTACCCTCCCAGCACCTGGAGGGTAGAGGCGTCCTTTGTCCTGTTAGTTCTTTATAAATGTATTCTTTGTCCGAAAGGTATAAAAGCTGCCTGCTTTGGTCCCTACTTTGGGTGTCATAATTTTGGGGCCCATGTACATACTAAATTAAATTAAATTTATTTTTTTCCTGTTAATCTTTTATTACAGGGTGTGTCTCAGCCAAGAATCTAGAAAGGTAGATGGAAATTTATTTTTTCCCCTACAGTGTTGGTGAGGCAGCCAGGAGATTTCACTAGCTGGACAGGGCTTGCCCCAGGGCTGCTGCCGCTGAGATCTTGGGAATTCTGACAAGCACTGACAGAAGCTGGGAATTCTTATCGTGTCAGTCTCCTGGACTTCTGTCTGAGGGGTCTGCTGGAAGTGAGAGTGGTGAGAGTCCTTTTTTAAAATTTAGACTGACAGGAGAAAACACCTGTGGATTTCTTTCTTTGTGTAGAGCGACTCTGGTGAAGATTTGGTAACGAGGACTCTCGTTTTCTATCGATCCTCTTTCTCCCAGAGATGGTCATTGTTTTCTTTTGTCTCTGTCTTTTGTGTTGTTTGTCATAAAGGGAAAAACCATGGGTCTGATGAGCTTTTCCCTTTGTCTTCTTCTATGTCCTGAGAGTTTGGCTTTATGACCACTAAGAATATTCCCTCTGGCCTGCACCATCTGGAAGGTGTACATACTGGTGTGCATCTGGTGGCCATTTGAATAGACTGGAATTCCAAGACACAAAGTCACAGGCAGCCTTCTCTTTGTAGACTGTGCCAGATCTCAGGGGAGTGCTAAGGGGTCCCGGTCCATAAGGGGCCTCTGTCACCTCAACCTTCATTGTCTTGTTAGTTCTGGAAAAATCCCATTCCAGTAGCACTTGCCCTGTGACCCAGATTAGTTTTTCTGTGAGAGACTTCACTATACAATTCTTACTGCTTGTGACAACGGAGGTCTTTGCTTTCTTAGGCTTATGCCAGGAGTGACCTTTCTGGATCTTGTGTGGATTGCATCTTTTGCACTCTCCTTCAGGGATACCTCTTGCATCCTGGTGAAGCCAAAACAGGTTTGTTGGTTTTAGTGGCTAATGGGATGAATAGATCCTACTTGTCAATGGCCAATCAGTGGACCTTTTGAATTTGAAGAACTTCTGTATTTGAAAAATTTTTTTAGAGAGCATTGACCCTAAACAATTGTTTCATTAGTACCTGTGGAAAGACCAAATTGAAAGGTGGACAAAGAAGCAGAATGGCTAGCCCTGGGGCCTCCTTTAACTAGATGAAAGAGCAGAAATTAAACTTAGAACAAAATTAAAGTCCACACTCCATGTAAATTGCCCTTCTTAAAATCTGGTCCTCTCTCCTCAGCAAGGAAGTTAACTCCCCAAACTCCTCCACCTTCCCCAGAAAATCCCTTAAACACCAAGCTGCTTATTTTAACTTCCCTTTCCCTACTAGATATACAGAGAGCACTCAACCTAATATCTGGGCCCATGGTCTTCAGGTTACTCGTGTAAATGCTAGAAGCCAGGAAATAAATTCAAAAGTGCCTGGGCTAGACAATAAGGCTCATTTTGCTGGGTTCTATAATCAGGCTCAGCAAGCTTCAGGTCCTCTTTTGCAATATCCTTTGTGGATATATTCGAGGCCCCCACCCAAAGAATTCATGTCCCCTGGACAGCAGAACATTGAAATCCTTTGATTTCTATCTTAGTTGGAAATTTTCTCCCTGATATAAAAAGGAAAATTCAAAACAGTACGGTTGAGTGGGCTAATTAACCTCTAAGTGTTTTAATGAAAAAAGTTATGCAATTCTTTGAAGATAGTTTGTAGGAATGCAAATTTAAAAAAGGGTTCAAAATCAATAATTCTTGGGGCACCTGGCTGGCTCAGTGGAGCATGCCTCTCTCAATCTTGGGGTCGTGAGCTCCACACTGGGTGTAGAGATTATTTAAAAATAAAATGAATAAAATAAAAAATTAAATTAAATTAAAAAAAGAATTATTGATTTTTTAAAAAAGATTTCTTTATTTAAGTAATCTCTACATCCAATGTGGAGCTCACACTCACGACCCAGAGATAGAAGAGTCACATGCTCGACTGGCTGAACCAGCCAGGCACCCCAAGAATTATTGATTTACAACTTAACTCTTTAGAAAAACAAAAGCCTAACTCTGAAAGCAACTCAAAAATCTATTTAGATCCTTTCCTATTAGCCTTCAGACATCCATAGATACTGCAAAAATCATTTTGGAAATACAATTGTCCTATACTTAAGGAGAAAAAAAACTAGGTAGCAATTACCCTAGACTTCTGGTAATGGAGAAATATATCTAAATTCCTAGAAGAAAACCTGCATTTCTCTGTGCCTTGAAGATGTAAATCTTACCATGTCTTTGAAACACCCTAGGAGGTAACTAAAACTCACTGGAGACGGGGGGAGGGGGGGGGGGGAGGGGGGGGGGAGTCCTTTTTAAAATATAGATGGCTGGACAGGCTCTCTTACCCAAACTCTATAATAGACTATAGCCTCCTTGAGATTACGTCTCAAGGATGAATACAAATCTTAAAAGTCTTTTTCACAAATAGTAAAAAGCTTTAGTCATCTGAATGGATAAACTTAACTTATTCTAATCATTATTTATAAACTAGTGAGTTTTATACTGTTATACCCGATTCATGGCTAAAATTTTAAAATGTAAGATAGCTGTGTTAGGCTGTTATGTATGTCTAGGTGTGTGCATTCGAGATATGGTTACTCTTCTACCTCTGAATGGTATTGCCAAAATTAATTTGTAAAAGAGCTCTGTTTAATTGGCTTAAAAATAAGTACTTTTGAATTAAGTATTTCAAAATCTCAGAAATATAATAGAAACTAACCCAAATGTTTTTCTTTTTTGTTTTTTTAAAGATTTTATTTATTGGGGCGCCTGGGTGGCTCAGTCGTTAAGCGTCTGCCTTCGGCTCAGGTCATGATCGCAGGGTCCTGGGATCAAGCCCTACGTCGGGCTCCCTGCTCGGCAGGAAGCCTGCTTCTCCCTCTCCCACTCCCCCTGCTTGTGTTCCCTCTCTAGCTGTCTCTCTCTCTGTGTCAAGTAAATAAATACAAAATCTTAAAAAAGAAAAAGTTTAAGTTTGTTGGTTTAATCGATACAGACACGTATTATACTTTCAGAGTTATTGGCATTAAGTAGAATAATTTTATTTTACCTAGGTTTTCTAAAAGTCAAAGAAGCTCATGTTATCTCTGTTACAAGAATTTGTTCGCAAGAAAAATAACTTAAGATGATGACTAATGTCTCTTGAAATCTTGAGGAGTAATCTAAGCATAATTGTTAGGAATAAATGAACTGAATACATGTAAATGAGATGAGTCTTTAGGTGCACTTTTTTGCAATGATTATTTTATGGTATGTTTGCTTAAATAGTTTTCCAAGTCTCTTTGGCAACTTCCACCATCTAAGTTAAATTAGATGGTGGGAATTCATTGAATGTCTGGAGCATTTCCAAAAAAAAAATTATGGAAACACTAATTGCTAAACAAGTCCCAGTTTACCTACTTTTGACCTCTTATTACAAAGGAACTAAGGATATTTGGGTTGATTAGTAAACATGTCTTGTGCCGCATTAAAAAATTCTGCTATAAGGAAATGCACGTTTCTAGAAATTATGAAACATTCATAAATTTGCTAATCTAAAGAATGCTGGTATAACAGTTCACAATTGCTTACTTTTTAGTTTTCACTAGAAAGTAAGGTTTCTTAGGATTAAGAAGTCTAATTCATATAATTAAAGTTACTTGAAATACTAAGGGAAACAATTCTGTATGCAAGGAATGTAGGATATATGTTTCTTTGGAGAGAAAAAGTATGGGCAATGGAGATGCAATTTTTTGTTGAGGGAAAAGAAAGTAGTTGTCCTAAAGTAAAATTGATTATTTCTGAGTGGGAAAGATGACAGGGGACAAACTAAAATGGACATAGAAAGTTGTAGGAGGTTTGTGAAAAAAAGGATCTTGGGAAAGGAATTTAATGTGTGATCAAACTGAATGAAACTGAATGGATTTGTTATAAGGGTTTTAAAAGAAAGCTTTAATAGCAATAGTGTACTTATGTAACACTAGAACTTAGTTTTCTTTCAGGTGTTAGAAGGACAAAGTTTGCTTGGACTTCCAATTTGCTCCTGATAAGGGATTGTAAAAGGTTTCTCCTTACCTTTTAAGTAATCTGCCTAGAAAGCAAATATTTTGTGTTTTAATGTTCAGGTCTCTGATTACTTAAATCATCAACAACAACAACAACAACAACAACAACCGAGTCTTCTTTATTAAAAGAGCTCAGTTTTACTTACAACAATTTAACTTCTGGTATTTGCCTGAGAAGTCTTTAATTATCACCATGGTTAAATGGATAACTAAGCATGTTTTCACAGTGACCTATGATCCTATCTGACCAAGTGTTTTAAAATCTCTTTGAAATTCTTTTTTTTTTTTTTTAAAGATTTTATTTATTTATTTGAGAGAGAGAATGAGACAGAGAGAGAGAGCATGAGAGGGGGGAGGATCAGAGGGAGAAGCAGACTCCCTGCTGAGCAGGGAGCCCGATGCGGAACCTGATCCCGGGACTCCAGGATCATGACCTGAGCTGAAGGCAGTCGCTTAACCAACTGAGCCATCCAGGCGCCCCCCTCTTTGATATTCTTAACAAAATTTCCCCAAATCAGATTCTAGACAGAGTCTATTTGACCTCAAACAAACTTTGGGAATTTCCAGAGGGTTCCTGGGACAAGTCAAAGGATTTGTTCTCTCTCCTAATTAAAAGAGAGATGTTACACTGAATAGCCTTATTTGTTATTTTAAATTACATGGGAAGCATTGCCAAATAAGTGGTGATAAGCCTTCCTAGGTTATATTATATGGGTGAATGTTATTAATATAAGTGTTCAGAAATTATATAAAATTCCTAAAATTCTGATATGTCTAGTGTAATACTATCAGTCATAATTTTAGTTATTATCTTAAAATGTTGCATGGCATAAAAATAACCAAATTTCCTCATCAATTGCATTGTAATGAACTCTCATCAGATCTTTAACCATGGGCATTTTTAAGTCTGGTCATTTACAGATGGTTATTGTTTTACTCTGATACTTTTGCAAATATATTTCATCTTCAGAGAGGCTCATGGAAAAGACTCTGACAAGTACTCTAGAATATAGGTTTCTGATAACTTTAAGATCATCAAACTGAACTGGGTAAGAATTTCCAGAACTAATAGAAAAACTGGATTTAAGCTACAAGAGGTAATTAAGTGGGACTGAATAAATTGAGGAGGATAATTATAATTTTTTATGCCTTTGTTTGAAACATTGCTGATTTTAAAAATGTTTTGTTCTCCCAGATTTAAGGAAAACTTTTCCTCTTTTCTCTTAAGCTAACTCTGCCTTAGAGCAATTTGGTAAAATATACCTTTGTGAACAAATATGACACATATATCTTTTTCTCCCCACTTCATCCCCCTAGAATTTGGAAACTTTCACTGAGTATTCTTATATTTTCATGGCAATAGAGCTATTTATATGGGTTTGATAAGAATTTGTTCTTTTTTCTTTTTTAAGATTTTATTTATTTATTTGACAGTGAGAGAGCTAGAGCAGGAACACAAGCGGGGGGAGTGGGAGAGGGAGAAGCAGGCCTCCCACTGAGCAGGGAGCCCGATGCGGGGCTCGATCCCAGGACCCTGGGATCATGACCTGAGCCGAAGGCAGACGCTTAATGACTGAGCCATCCAGGTGCCCCAAGAATTTGTTCTCCTTATAACAGGACACTGGAAGCATTGGTTATATTGCCAAGACATTGACTGGAATGTCATGTTTGAGAGAGACATATATGGACTCAGATATGATCAGACAGCTTTAAGGAACTAAGGTTGGCTTTATGGAGCCAATAAAATCTCGTGGGAAAATTGGCCTGGTACTTTGCTTACAATGTTCCTGGCAGTCTTACCAGGTAAGTAAGGAAGGTATGATGAATTTACTTTAATGAAATCATAGAATCATTAAAAAAAAAAAAAAAGGAGGCAGGGGGTTCTTTAAGAACAGTAAGTCCTCACCTCTTGTTTTATATGTAACACTAAAAAAATGATTAGTAATTAAAATACTCCCTATCCCCGCTCCCCCATCTCCCTACGCTGTCTTTCGCTAGATGCAAACAGAAGCTGAGACCAGGTGGGATTATTCTGTGCAAGAAAGGATGGGATGTAAAGTCCACTACCATATCCTCCAGCACCAGGAACAGTCCTGGGAGACACCAATCATGTCATAAATATTTGTTAAATGAGAATAGACTTGGAATAGGGAGAATCTTGAGGAGTGTGGCTCAGAAAGAGAAGGGGTGAAAAGATTTTTTGTTTTGTTTTTGTTTTACAGGGAGAAAGAAACAGAAAAAGAGAATTTGGGCAGCTGGTAAGGGAAGAGGGAATTGGGGGGGGGGAAGGAATTGTTTAAAGGAAACGGAAGGAATGTTTTGCTGGCGATATGTGGTGCAACCCTCCTCCCCCTCGTGTTCAGTAGAAATGAACACTGCCATTCAAATCTTCTGGAAGATTATTAGGGGGTTTTGGCATGTGACAATGCAGACAGCTGACCTCCAGGACAGGCGCTGAGCCTAAGATGCTCCATTACATTTGTGTTGGATCTAGATGAACAGAGAGGTCAAAGGATTTGCCCACGGACCTAATTAATGGCAGATCCAAGACTGGAACTCAGATCTCCAGATCCCTATTTCACTGGCCTTTCCATAAACTGGCATGGGGCTTAGTCGGCTGCCATACTTATTTAATTTCATGCTGAATAAGTCAGAATGTGGTCAGGACAACACATTTCTGGCTGCCCACACACTGGGCCTGTGTTCACAGATGCTGCACTGGGACTGAATATCCCCAGATTCTAGCCCTGCTTTGACCATGTTACCAGCTGTGCAGCCTTGGAAAAGCCACAGCCTCTCAGAGCTTTATTTTCATCATCTGAAAAATGGGAGCTAAGCCTCCTCCCTCTCAGTGCCTTTGCAGGATCAAGTGAGATGTTGCGAAAGCTGCATGTACAACAGGAAGTCTGAGACACATGTTTAGTAAGTAGTTATTTCTATTATTATCTGTTATATTTGCCAGCATGGGATTTCTGTGGACATACTATGGTTTCCTTTTTTCTACTCCCTGAGCCAATGGTTCACAAAAATTCAGTCATATTTAAAAAACCTTCTTTTCTTTCATTCTGTTATTCATAATCAAAATAGAATTTAAAAAAATCACAGAATAAACTTTATATGTAACTCCTTAACTAAGAGATAATCCATCTTAAACCTTTTATATATTTGTAGCCCTTTTAAAACTTTGCATCTATTTACATAGAGTTTCAGACTGTGCTCATAATTACACTTGTTTCCGTGATTTCAAAAAACTTAATATAACATTTTCAGCATTTTTCTATGCCGTTAAATATTCCTCAACAATATGATTTTTTTAATGACTGCACACTAGTCCCCTGTCTGGACATATAATTTATTCAATTAAGATGGTTTCTGATTTTTTTTTTCTATTACACATGGTACTTTGATAAAGCCCTTTGTAATATATGCTCTTGGTTCTCTGTTCCTTGTCTGTAAAGAAGCTATACCCTGAACTTCTTCAGGTGGCTGTCATGAGGGTCAGGCGAGGGAGACCACGTGGGAGATGAAGAATCATGCCTGGTACATAATAAGCACTCAACACTGTTAGCTACTATTATTACTACTGACTTCAGATATTTGTGGTTAGTACCCAAACAGAACTACATCGAGTGCTTGGTATTAAGTACATCAAATCATGCATTCTAAAAACACTTTAGGGATATCTTTAGAGCTTTGTTCAGAAATTTGCTTTTTCAAATTACCTAGAATTTGCTGGATGTTTCATTATGAAGAGTAATTGAAAGGATGTTTGTTTAGATTTTATTTCTGTGCCTCAGGACGTCCTTGAAGGGAAGGTGGGGGTCTTCACATATTAGAAGTGATTTCCTGGCTTTAGAGTTTAAAGGAAGTCAACAAAGACCGACTTATTTGATTGGCCACATGCTTGTTGGACAGGGTGAAAATCTAGTTCGGTTACCTTCTTGATATTCCGTGGCTGCACCAGCAGCTGTGGGTCAGAAGTTCAGAACAAAAAGTGAAATCCTAGGATTAACTGTCATACTCTTGTATCAAATATTTTTCTGTTGAATCAACTTCCCATGGTAATTGTTTTGGGGGGAAGCTTTGCCACCACTGCTCTCTGCTACCTTCTCTGTCGGCGCCGATTACGTAAGATGCTGTCCAAGAGCCACTTCACTGGTGGCCCACAGCTTCTCTGGACCCCCTCTGTCTTCTGAGAGCCCCGGGGTGGGCGGATTCTGCAGTTTTGTTGGGTGGCGGCATGGAAGGGAGGAGCGTGGAATCAAAGGGGTAGCAACCCAAGCCTTGGCCCAGCCACTAACCAGCTGTGCCACTGAGGGCAAATTACTCCAGCTTCTGCGTCTCGGGTTTGGTCTCTATAAAATAGATGTAATAAAATAATCATAATAATAGTAGTAATCATAATAATGGGTAGGTACCTCATTAGGCCCACCCCTAACATTTACAGGACCTCAGCCAAGCATAAATGAAGCATCCCCAGCCCACATCTCCCTTCTCTTTCGACTTGGTCCCGTCTCACACCATGAGGAGCTTTGTGGAGAGCGTCCACACCCCAACCTACAGGTCCTGATCCTTCCACACTCCCTCCCTCTCACCCCTCACTGGCCAGTAAGCTGACCTTGGGAGGGTGTAACTGTGGAAGAGGCCCATGTAAGCCCGAGAAGGAGGCTTGGGCCACTGAGGCAGGTGAGGTTGCGGTCCTAGGGAGGGCCCTTTCCTCTAGAAAGGAAGTGTGGGTTCCGGGTGCTCGCATCATCCTGGCCCCACAAGGAGGGAAGTGGGCCGTGGAGGGGTCTCTAGAGTGTGGGGCCTCTGTGGCCTGGATCTGAGGATTAACTGGGTCAGTGCCTGACCCGGGCTTAGTACAGCACGTGGCATGTTGCTAGCGCTCCATAAACGAAGGATGCTACAATTGTGGCGGCCATACTGTTATGGGAAGAGAACTCAAGCATGATCTCGTCCAAGTCCTTTATTTGATGTGGTGAGGAAACACAGAAATATTAAAATCAACCACTGTTAAACACATATAGAACCTGGACCTGAGGCTCTTACCATCCAGCTGCCTTTCCTCTCTCTGCTTGGCAGTGCATTCTCTTCAGCAACATGAAGATGTGGGGTCAGAACCACCTTTAATGTTCAAGGTCCACAGAGGTGACTGGTGCTGTGGTGATTTTCTGAAAAGGGGCAGGGAGTGTGTCCTTGGAGAAAGGGGCACCTTCAGTGGGAGTCAACGCTCCTAGGCCTCCTGTGAATGGTTCTCCATGTTGGTGTTGGAACACCTCAAATATTTACTGCACAATGAGAAGCATATGGATAAAGAAGAAGGTGACATTTTATACTCCATAGCAGTGTATTGAAAGGCCCCAGAGTGAATATTTTAAGTCAGAAAAACCTATTCTGGTTCAGGAATCAGATTTACAGGCTGACTGAATTTCTTTTCATGAGTTAAACATGAAATAAAAGTAATTTTCAAATTTCCTTTCTTGTTCTCATTGTAAAACCTAGTTTGCTTCATTTTATCCATAATATATTCTTTGACGTTTTAGCATCTGAAGATTGCTCACTCTCACTAAAAATTGATTTCTGTTTTTAAAACTGTTTTTAAAGGTTTATTTTTATCTAAGTAATCTAGACACCCAACGTGGGGCTTGAACGCATAACCCCAAGATCAACAGTCTCACGCCCCTCTGACTGAGCCCGCCAGGCACCCCACAACTTTTAATTATGGAAATGCTCAAACATATAGGAAAGTAGAGGCAACAATATGATGAGCCTGGTGTACGAGGCCCTGTGCACCCACTGTCCCCAGCCTCTGCAGTGATTATGTCTGGCCAATCCTGTTTCATCCATAAACTCCCCTGCCTTCCCCACTCCGGCAATGGGTTTTGAATCAAACCTCAGACCTTCTATCATTTCATCCATAAATAACTTGTTTTCTCTACGATTTTGGTGAACATTAAAGCTCTCTATCTGGCCACTTCAGATTCAGCTTGTTCGGCTGGTGAGTCAAGAGACCAACACTTGGGCCCTTCTAGAAGCCTTGCACGGTTCCACGTCCAGAGAATTCAGGGCAAATCAGCTTGAAAATGGAGCCTCAGGCGGGAACTGAGTAAGGGAACATTTTGGATACTTTTTATTCTTTGCCGAATTTCTGCCAACTCTGTATATGGTATTACCGTAAAGGTCTTGTTTTCTCCCGCCCCCCCCTTTTTTTTTAAGAATGAAACTTCTTTTCCCTTTTTGTGAGAGAGAAGCCTGTCGTTCCAAACTCTTTCATCCTCCTTGCTGTTGTTCAGCTTTCCTGCCATTTTGTTCCTCCATGAGTCTTGGTTTGTGTATTCTGGGCTTTGGCAATTCCCCCGGGGGGACCCAGGGATGGGGAGGGTGGCCCTGCTCATGTCATTGAAAGATTATTGCACTTCAATCAGTGGAGTTCAACTGAGAACTTAAAAAAGTTCTCTGTGTAGTCACTGAATTTTAAATCACGATCTTAGAAAAGACTGAGAGCGAAAAAAAACAAAAAAAGAATTCCAAGTTAGAAAAAAAAGATTTCACATTTCCCTGCCAGAAACACTGTTCTGGTTTTCGGTTGAATGGCTTGGCTATTAATTAAGTTTTCGTGCTCAGCAGCTATCTCGTTTTCTACATTCTTGCTGTTAATCGTCATATATGTGACACATGACTTCTGTTTAAATGCTAAAGTTTATTAGAGTGGAAAAAAAAAGTTATTCAGGAAAGGACAAGAGATTAGGAACCAAGTCCAACCATTTGCTTATTCATCTGCATATGGTTAAAAGATTTAAAAGAATCCATTGGTTTCTGTTTCACTGCTACATGCAGGCCAAGGAGCAAGGAGAAAAAAAGCCTTTTCCTACCCATGGTGTAGAAAGATGTTTTCTTCCTTTTGCCTTAGGGGCGAGAAATCGTTTCCTCTCCAATATTAAGCCGAAGTAACCAAGCTTTGGAGAGACTGGCTCCTTCTGAAAGGTTACTGTTCTAATTACCTGTTGTTTTGTCACAAATTCCCCCAGAACTTAGTGGCAGAAAATAGCAGCCATTTCGTCTTGTTCAGGGACTCTGTGGGCCAGAAATTCACAGGGCATAGTGCCTGAGCCTCAGCCAGGAGGACTAGAAAGGCAGGGAGTGCTGAGAACGGCAGCACTGGAATCGTCGGGAGGCTTCTCTCCTCACACGTCTAGCACCCTGGATCGAGGCGATGCAAAGTCTGTACTCAGATACGTCCGGGAACCAGAACACCCACACATGGTCTCTGAGTGTGGCTGGGGCTTCTCGAAGCATGGGTGGCTGGGTACTGAGAGGACATTCAAGAGACCAAGTCAGAACATCACTTCCCACTCTTGCTGCATTCTAGTGGTCCGACAAGCCCCTCAGGCCAGTTTAGTTAGATTCAAGGGGTGAGCCACCGACTCTACCTCCTGATGGAGAAGTCAAGGTCCTCCCGCAGAAGGCATGTGGATGGCCAACTGTGGACAATACAAATGACTCAGTCGTCTTGGCTCTTTGCTGGGGTGAGGCCGTGTCATGAGGCGTCTCTAGTGAGGAGGTCGGGGAAGGAGTTATTTCATGCTGAGACCATCTTCTTCCTCCAGTAGGAAGGAAGAAGATGGTCTCTTCCCCCTCACTAGGCTATTTCATCCAGTTCTTACTCAGCTCTTCCCCAAAGCCATGCTTTGTCCCCGGCACCTTCAGTCTTTGTTTCGTCTCTGGCCGTGGGCAGAGGTAGAATCACAATAAACAAGCACATTCCCTGTAGCAGCTTCCTGGCGGCTGTGCTTAGTTTGCTGTTTCGCCTTTTTCCATCTATATATTCACCCACAAATATGTATGGATAGATTCCTTTACTATTGGTGATGGAGAAACCCTTTTTGTGGAGAAATAACTCACATACCATAAAATTCACCCATGTAAAGTGTACATACAGTTCAGTCGTTTGGTATAGAGTTGTACAACCACAAGCACTACGTGATCCTGCAACATTTTCATCACCCCGAAAAGAAATCCCACCCCCGTTAGGAGTCACCTCCATGGCCCCTTCCACAGCCTCTGGCAACAGTAGCTCTATTTTCCGTCTATGGATTTGCCTATTCTGGACATTTCGTATAAAGGGAATCATATGATATGTGGCCTTTTGTGACTGGCTTCTTCCACTGAGCATGCTTCCAAGGTTCATTTACCCATGTCGTATCACGTCATTCCTTTCTGTGACCAAGTCATGTTCTGTTGTATGGATATACCACATTTTTTTTAATCCATTCATTGCTCAGTGGACCTTTGGGCTGTTTCTGCTTTTTGTCTATTACGTAATGCCGGTATGAATGTTTGCGTATAAGTTTTTGTGTGAACGTGTGTTTTCAATTCTCTGGGGTATATACCTAAGAGTGGAATTGCTGGGCCATACAGTAAATTTATGTTTAACTTTTTTTTTTTTTTAAAGATTTTATTTATTTATTTGAGACAGAGAGAATGAGAGAGAGAGAGAGAGAGCACATGAGAGGGGGGAGGGTCAGAGGGAGAAGCAGGCTCCCTGCTGAGCAGAGAGCCCGATGCGGGACTTGATCCAGGGACTCCAGGATCATGACCTGAGCCGAAAGCAGTTGCTTAACCAACTGAGCCACCCAGGCGCCCCTATGTTTAACTTTTTAAGGAACTGCGGAACTGTTGTCCACAGCTGCCGAACCTACCTACGTATGAGGGTTTCAATTTCTCCACATCCTTGGAAACCCTTGTTCTTTTCTTTTAAGACAACTTTTTATGATAGCTATCCTAGAGGGTGGGAAATGGTTGCTGCACTTAGCTTAAGGACCCCTTCCTTCAGGCCACTTACATACCATGGGAGTCACGTGCTTACTTGGAGACACAGAGTTACTCAGGGCTTCTTATGTGCCAGGCTCTGTGCTAAAGGGGGTACATGTGCCATCTTAGTTTAGTGCACACAAGTCTCTAAGGAGGGACCATCATTATGCCTATTTGACAGGTAAACAAACCAAGCACAGAAGAACTTGCTGGAAAAGTGATGCAGTTTGGAAGACCTGCATTTCCTGTATTAAAAAAAAATTACAAAACTTGGGACACTAAGGTAGGAGTTTATAGTCTAAGTGAAAGATTTGAAAAACATTTCCCCCCTGCCAAAACAAAGCACCTCTGGCAGATTGTGGCTGGCAGAATTCTTGATGGCCACCAATATCCTACCCTGTCGCATACACACCTTTATAATCCCCAAGTATTGGTGGGGCCTGTGAATATCATGGGCTATCACTCCCCTGATTATGTTACATTAATACAGCAAAAGGGACTTTGCAGATGCAATTATAGTCCCTCATCAGTTCATTTTGAGTTAATTAAAAGGAAGATTATCCTACGTGTACCTGACCCAGTCACATCAGTGCCTTAAAAGAGACAAGCAGCAGTAGAGACTCTCACTGGCCTTTAAGGAACAGGTCACCACGAGTCCTATAACTGCAAGGAACTGAATTCTGCCAGCAACGACCTGAACAAGTTTGGAAGAAGGTCCATTGTCTGTTCCAGATCCGAACCCAGCCGTGGCTGTCTCCTTGATTAGAGCCTTGTGAGACCCTGAGCAGAGAAGCAGTCATGCCCTGCCTGGATTTCTAACCTATAGAATAGTGAGAGAACAGGTGTTGTCTGAAGCCACTGAATTTGTGGCTATTTGTTACACAGCAATAGAAAACTAGTACGTAGATCATTGACTGTTTAAAGGCTGACAGAAATGAAGTTATTGATGCACCATTATGTAGAGCAGCAGTTCTCCAAATATAGCCCAGGGGCCTCTGGGGGGTCCTCAAGACCTTTTCAGGGGTCCATGAGGTCAAAGCTATTGTCCATAATAATGCAAAGATGTCATTTCCCTTTTTCCTTCTCATTCTCTCATGATCTTATAGTTTTCTAGATGCTTCATGATGTGTAAGAATACCATTGCTCTGATGGCTAATGATATGTGTCCTGTGTATTATTGTGTTTAAAAACTTTCCCTGTCTTAATTTCTAATGTGGTAAATAGTGACAAATATAGCCACCATAAACAAAAGTTTGTGGGGTCTTCGATAATTTTCAAGAGTGTAATGAGGTCCTGAGACCAAAAAGTTTGAGAACGTTGGTCTAGATGAGCTGTAACTAAGTAGGCCTAGACAAAGTCTGAATGTATGAGAATTTATATGTGTAGTCAATGCCTACATTTGGTCCAGAACTGTGGCAGGTGTGACCAAGAGTGGAGCAAGGTCATGAAAGTATGAGGTATAATCCCTGATGTAAGGTGAACATAAAGAAATAATGATCAGAAGCATTCATTTCTTCCCTCTACAGGTGTTTCTAAGCACAAGGTACTGCAATATGATGGTCTGTAGCTCAGTTCTAACCTTAGGTATGGGTGGCTATGTCACCGAGGTGTTTAGAGAAGAAGTTGCTGAAACAAGGCTGTGGGAGATGGGGATGAGTTTGTGGTGGAGGTGAAATGTAAGCTGGGAAGGGAAGTGGAAGGAGGAGAACAAATATTCCAGGCTTATCCTTCAGATTTCAGCTAAAACATCCTTCTTAGAGAGGCCTTTCCTGATATCCCTTTCTAGAGCACCCAGCACCTTCTTCTCCATCACAGTGCCCCGTTCATCCCCATTCCTGGCACTTTTTTTTTAAACCTAACCTAGCTGTTAAGGTAAGTCTGGCTGGAGCTGGAGTGCCTTTGTTCAAATCCCGGCTCTGCCACTTTCTAGTTATAAAATCTTGGATAAGATACTTAATCTCCCTATGCCTCAGTTCCTCAACAAATGTGCTAATAAAACAAGGAATTTATGTTGAAGAGTTAGCTTAGGTTGTGACCATGGGACTGAAGAGGAAAGGCTGAGTGTGAACTGGTTCAAAGGCAGAATCAATAGGTGAATTCAGATGACAAGGAGAGAAGAGGATGGAAAGACAAGGGAAAATTCTGGGGATACTAAAAATAAGGGCAGAGAAACCAATTCTATATGGATTAAGGAAAGAGAGTACAAAACAATTATTCCAAAGTTTGTTGCTTGAGAGAGAGGCTAGCGTCAGTTAAATACTCTAGAAGGGAAAAAGGGGGAGCTATGTCAAATCCATGTTTAAAATGAGTCGGCAGGAAGAACATAAGTGTAGACAATTTGTTTTTAGAGCACTAGAGTGGCGGGCTGAGCAGAAGAAAGTTCAGGGCAGACAAGAAAATCTGGGTGTCTGCTCATTGCTGGACAGAGCTGAAATCATGGGGAAGAAACTCCACATGGCCCCACTATATGGAGTGAGCTGTGTGGAGAAGGACAATCTACTTTAATGCTCACGATGATGTTCTTCCTGTGGATAAAAGAGGCTTAAGACATTGCTGTCAAACTCCTTTTGGTGAGATGGGGCTTTTCAGAAGAAATAAAGCACTGATTCAATCTAAGGAACTGCACAGTAAGGGGGTAGTACATTTCTCAGTTTGAATCTCACTTTGGAAGGCCAAATAAACATGTTTCAAGTTGCTTTTATACGGGAAAGCTAGGGTCATCTCCTTTCCAGCAAGGACTTCTTGCTATTCAGTCTAAAATTGTACAACATTCCTCTTGTTGACACGGCTTCACAGCACTCTAAGTTCCTGGCTAAAGCTTCCCGTGATGACTTTTGGATGTCCTATTTGAAATAGTTAGACTTGCAGCCTGGCAAGCTGCTGAAACCCTAGGACAACTGAACTGTAGATAAAAATCTTCCAGGGAAGTAGGTGTGGGCAGGATGTGTGGTTTCCTTGTCTCTCATTTAAAGACTGATGCAGTTAATTTTTCGTGAACAGTCTCTTCCAGTAAGAGCTGCATTCCGGAATGTTTCAAGAGCAATGCAAAAGGACAAGCTAGCCACTGATCTTCAGTTTGAGTTGAGACTAGAGCACGATGTTTTTCAAGCTGTGCCCCTTTGCTAATGTGACCTTGAGGACCTGAATTAGCCATAACGACAACACAGAGCAGAGCAGGCGCTTGTTTACCAAATAATCTGGAACCGAGCAAACCTCACTCTGAACGTGTGCACAGCAGTCGCAATCCGGGAAGATAGTCCTAAATCTTTAGTGATATAATATACATGAGATTTTTTTCCCTCTGACATTCCAGGCTAACCACTGTCTAAGTTAAGGCTCTGCAAAACATCTGGGACATACATTTCTGGAAAAATGATGGCATCTTTTCTAACAACTCTCCGTGGCCTAAGCCTCGTGCGCTCTGGGCCGACAGGAGCCTCGGCAGCAGGATCACCTGCGGGGGCTGGGGCAAGCTGTGCCGGCGTGCAGACAGGCGTGGACGGAACCGGGACTGAACGCAGTCCAATTTCATGCGTCAACTATGGACCCAGTGCCACTTAGGAACAAAGTGCAGAGCAGAACAAAACTCAAAGGTGAAAAAATGTACATGCTCTTATCCCTAAAAAAAATCACTTTCTCTCTAGAGAAGTAGAGGCTTATTTCATCTGACATTCCAGGCCTTGCCATCAACGGAAGCGGGCGCAGCACCTGACGTTCGATGATTAAAGTCAAAGCACATGACGAACTACCTCCTGGCTGTCCCAAGGCCACCGAACCAGACAGCAACATAGTTTCCCTATTCCGAGAGTCTTCTCAGCCAAACACCTAGGAAAACGTCCTGGTGACAGATGTGCCTACTTTTTCCAGGGAAGATTTGCCCAAAGAGCGATAAAAGCTAGGTCAGCCTCAGCATGCTCACTGTGCAACCTCTCAGGTATTCATGCATTTTCACGGACACTCCGTCTCGTCATAATTTCTTACCATTTATGAGATGTACATCATACTTCCGAAACAGATTTGAGTAAAGGAACACCTCAAACGCTACGAGACGTCTCGCTGTTAAAGGACAGAGCTTAGCGGGAGGGGACAGGACTTCCGTTTGATGAGGAGCTGCCCGGCCCGGCCGTCGGGGCTGTACTGCAGGGACTTGGCAGGGTGGCACCGATTCTCAAGCAGGACCAACGAAATGATTGGTGGGGAACGGGTCTCTTGTTCCACGTCCATTAAGAAATCCGTGACAGCAGAGTAGGAAAGCAATGAAGGGCCCTCCTGAGTGTGGGTCCGTGTGTGACGTCACAGGCCGCTCGCCCGGGAAACGGGCTTTGCCCTCCAGCCAGGCTGCCGCGGCTGGAATCTCGGCTTTGCCACTTACTGGTCATCTGTAGAAGGGAGATGATAACGGTCCCGACCTCACCGAGTTGTTATTAGGATTCTGTGAGCTAAGATTTGAAAAGTGATTAGAAGAATACCTGGCGCATAGCAAGCCCTCACATAAATGTTTAGTAAAAGTACACTCTACCGAGCCTAACCATCTCAAAATGCCAGGGATGACGACAGCCATGCCATTGTGAATTTGAGAGTTTGGGTTCCAGAAAAACAGAATCACCTTTTAATTTATTTTAACGATTCAACAAGGGATTTCAAAGGATCTTCTGGATTGAGGGCAATGGCTCACAGAGCAAAACTGAAGAACAAAAAAAGATACTGGTTTATGCTCACAGTTCTGGAAGCCAGCGGAGTGCAACTTGTCATGAAGCCCACGTCATATGACTGCTTCCTTTATGCTAAAAGGATTCACCAGGGACTTTACTGCTTCCACAGAGGAAACAGAGCCTGCTGTATCTGAACAAAAACTAAGAAATATCTTTCTTTTCTTTTTACAATGCAGAATATTGTAAAAAAAAAAAAAAAAAAGAGCTGCAGAACAGGAAATGTTACTAATCATACTAATATTATATTTAGCTGTAGGAAAAAATTACTAAAACAAGTCAGAAGATAACCTGCAGGTAGTGATACAAAAGAAAAGAAATTTGGTACACAGAGGCATAAATACTTAATGGTTTATTAATGTTTGTTTCATTTTTATTCATTTTTATTTTTAATTTAATTTTTTAAAAAGATTTTATTTATTTGAGAGAGAGAGAGAGCACAAGTGTGGGGGGAGGGGCAGAGGGGGAGAAAGAGACAATCTCAAGATGACTCCATGCTGAGCGGGGAGCCTGACACGGGGCTCGATCTCATGACCCTGAGATCATGACCTGAGTCTGACGCTTAACCAACTGAGCCACCCAGGCGCCCCTTAATGTTTTTTTTATAAGAGCACCTTCAGTTTCCTTACTGGATTATTTACACATTTTTTACTCTTCACCACCAATAATTCTCAGGACCTTCAGAAGCCTTTATGATAAACATGGTTTTTTCCTACCCCGATTACAATAAATATGGTTGACTGCAAAATTCTAGAGAAGTTGTCATTTGTCAAACAATTCGCCCAAGATACACAGACTTAGGATACTTCTCCTTAAGAGCCGGCCATTGAACAATGAAGTAATCGGAGAGGTGAAACAGAATCTTTCCGGACAGGGATAAGTGTTCTACTCGGCAGATGCTTTCAACATAGACAATGATCACTTTCTTTATTCCTAGTATCCCAAGGAGAAGGGCAGATATGCAGATAGGAACACATGTTCCTGGTCCATTACACAACACCTTAAAAAAAAAAAAAAATTGAAGGTCAAATTAACATAACATCTAAATGAGGCATCTAAAATGAAAAAATTCCAGTCACATCTTATGGGAGATTTTTTATTTTTCTAAGCCTTGAGTTATTCCTTGTAAAGATCTAGTATGCAGCAAAAACCCATGCACTCAGGAGCCAGGCAGGGCTGTGTTGCTGGCTCTCCTGTTTATTAACTGTGTGGCTTGGGGCAAACAGCTTAACTTCTCTGGGCCTGGGTGGCGTGCCCTGTGCTACCAGAGGTGTCTAGCACAGTGCCCGGTGCTCAGCCCGCATTCACTGGACGTGTATGTGCTGCTCTTCTCCAGATGTTCTGTGGATCTTGAATGTCACACAAAAACATAGAAGACAGATAAAGTCAGCTATGAGTAGTTGTTTTCTCATGTATCAACTTGTGCTTGTTGCTTTTTTAAAATAATCTTTAGGGGCGCCTGGGTGGCTCAGTGGGTTAAGCGACTGCCTTCGGCTCAGGTCATGATCCTGGAGTCCCGGGATCGAGTCCCGCATTGGGCTCCCTGCCCGGCAGGGAGTCTGCTTCTCCCTCTGACCCTCCTCCCTCTCATGCTCTCTGTCTCTCATTCTCTCTGTCTCAAATAAATAAATAAAATCTTAAAAAAAAAAAATAATCTTTAGAACAGTTGGAGCACTGACATGTAAGATGTAGGAGAAAATGTCTATGTAGAGTGTCTTTGTGGGGTATAGAATCATTTCAGGAGTTCAATTCAACAAATGGGATATTTGAGAGAAGGCTACTAAATGAATGAGATTTTTTCCTCCAGAAAATTTAATCTGTGGTTGTGGTCCAGAGAGTTTAATGCTTTTGAATTCTGCTAATTTTTATAGACAGCCACTGGTTAAAAACAATTTAGTTGGCAAAAATAACAAGAGAAATAAAAAACTGACTCCTAGAGCAACTGCAAAAAATTTTTAAAAGTCTTTTAAGAAAATGAGAGGAAACCTATTTCACAGAATTGTTGGCAAGGTAATTTATTATTACTTTCAGAGAAAAAAGTATTTGCAGAAACATCTTAATCATATGCTCGTACTGATCAACTGAATTAGTAAAACCTAACAAAGCATTTTTTTTTTAAGTAGGTTCCATACCTAGCATGGAACCCGACCTGGGGCTTGAACTCACGACCCTGAGATCAAGACCTGAGCTGAGATCAAAAGTCGGATGCCTAACCAACGAAGCCACCCAGATGCCCCTAATAAAACATTTTTTTAAATTCCACAAATGATAAAACAGGTGATTTGTGGTTGTGTATGCATGCCCGTTGGGCATTATCTACAATGTCACATGATCTTTCCTGCACAAAGTCCACAAAACTTATCAGACATCAGAAAATCTTAGAGTTGAAAGGGTCCCCAGATACAATGCCTGACCATCTTGGCATTTCAGATTCTCCCCGATGGACAGACACCCTGTCAGGGCTGTAAGACATGGCCAGGGCTCTAAGGGTTTGATAAAGGTTATTTGATCCCTATGACCACCTGGCACATCATTCACAGAACTTTGGGGAGAGAGAAGGTAGCCTGTTTCAGGTGGGAACCAATCTTTTTTTGTGCCTTCCTTAAAGTGTCTACCTACAATTTAATCCCCTATCTCTCTGAAGAATTTTTGTTCAGTTTTTCTTGAATTACCAGCTACTAAGCTCTTTTTCAGACTAGTCTTCTTTAGTCCCTATTGAGTTGCCCCTATAACCTTTCAAGGCAGTGCAATAGAAAGGAAATGGGACTGAGAGTCGGGAACAGGGTTCAACCAGCTGGGGCAACAGTAATGACAGTCACCATCTCGGCTCTTACCCCACTTTTTATCAACAACTCACTGTGGCCAGGAACGGAACTAAACATTTCCCATGCATTATTTCAATTACTCCTCACAGCAATCATTTGAGGCAAGTTTTATTGTCCCTTTTGTAGAATAGAAAACTGAGGCACAGAGAGACTGGGGAAGTTGCCTTATCACATGTTTAGGAGTGGAGGAGTTTTTTTTTTATTATTATTTTTTAAAGATTTACATATTTATTTGAGAGAGAGCTAGAGAGAGACAGAGAGAGACAGAGAGAGAGAGAGAGAGCGCGAGCGCACAGTGGGGAGGGGGAGAGAGAGAGAGAGAGAGAGAATCTGGAGCAGACTCCCTGCTGAGCATGGAGCCTGATGCGGGGCTCGATCTCATGACCCTGAGATCATGACCTGAGCAGAAATCATGAGTTGGACGCTTAACTGACTGAGCCACTCAGGCGCCCCAGGAGTGGAGGAGTTCTATTGCTTCAGTCACTTTTTCTCCTGTGACTCAGTTACCATATGCAAAGGGAGACTGGACTAAATGACCTTCCCTGTCAGCTCCACGATTCTTTTTTTTTTAATTCTATGACTTTAATTTGCCTCTAGTGTTGTCTTATGCCTAAATTACAAGATCGTTCTGAATCCTTTCAGGGTTTAGAATTCTAAAAATCCTATTAATGCAAGGTTTCTCAATAGTAGCATTATTGACATTTTGGACAGGATAATTTTTCATTGTGGTGGCCTGTCCTGCACATTGTAGGATGTCTAATAGCATCCCTGGCCTCTACCCACAAGATTCCAGTAGTCAAGACAATTAAGAATGTCTCCAGACATTGCCAAATGTCTCCAGTGGAGAACCACTGCATGAACGTATTCCCTAAACCCTGGATTATTTGTTGCTTTTCTCTTTTTTTCCATTGTACAGAATAAAATAAAACCTACAGGTAAAAAATAATGTAAACATTACTTGTTGGGTCTTCAATGTCACAAAAATATTTTCATGTTGGTTGCCTTTAAAAAATGTACATATCCACATGTGTTCATCTCACTATCTGTATACACAAACTGTGAATACTCTGATAGAAATGTCTGTATTACACGCAGGGAAATGACTGGCATTGGTGGGAGATGTATTAGCAACCTGCTATAGATCAGAAGCAGAGACTGTTAAGATAAAAGTAAAAGTTAAAGGTATTCATTTGTTTATCTCTGTCATATCTCTATTTTGAAGCGCCTTACTACAAAAGTCCTAGGTACGACAAAACTACAAAACTATACATCAAGTATTTTTTAAAAAGGGCAAATTAGTTTCAAGGAAAACTTAGGCTAAGGAAAGCTATTTTTAATTAACCACAGGTTTTAACTCTGAGGTTTACAGAAGCCTAGGCAAAAAAATTAAAAAATTGTGGATCACGGAGTTTCCACTATTTAATGAAGCAGATCAGAAAGACTTATTCCAAGCATTGAACAAAACAGAATTAAGTAAAAAAGATGTTAAACAATGTTAAATAATACAATGGTTGGCACTGTCCTTGTAGTTTTATAAAAAACACAGAACACTCTTCATATTTTTATTTCTTAAAATGGACATTCTCAATCAATGTGGGGGCCTTGCTTTTATTCTCTCTCCTCCTCACTACCTTGTAAACTCCTTATGGGCAGGGTCAACGTCTAGGACAATCTATATTCTGCACCTGGAACAAAAAAGACACTCACTAAATTTTGCTCAAAGGAAGGAGTGAGGGGTAAAGGAGGGAATCCTTCTTTGCCTATTGTATATGGAGTCCAATGTTCTATTTGCTACACTCCACTCTGTTTGTAACTCTATCATATGCACTCCTCATAAACATAATG